AAAAATAATATCAGATTTAATAATAATGGCAATTTGGTAAATAGGTAGAAACATGAGAAGAGTTTAGGTTTTTTAAGAGTGAATAGTAATGACAAAAAAAAAGAGGTTGGTTTTGTGTTTGATTTGAATTTTTGGGTTGGTTTTGCAAAACCCCCCCAAAAAATCACATCATATATAAGATCAAAGTAGGTGATATGAGAAAAAAAATAACAACAAATTAAATTACTCTCCTTTGTTAGTTATCAAAGTCTATTTTTATTTCATAAGTTGTAAACATATTTTATAATATCGAAAGATATGTGGTATAACATAAAAATAGCAAATTATCTTCTAAATTTATTGAAAGAAACAAAGCAATAGTAAATGAACTAGTTAGTTAAAACTCCTTAAAATACAAAAACAAAAAAGAAATATACAAAATAAATTCAAATTCAAACAAAATAATTTATAAAGTAATAAGATAAAAAACTAAAAATACAAACAGAGCGTAGCATTATTTACCAATTAATATAACAACAGTTGAATCCAATAACATTAACCATAACCATTCTTTTAAAATGAGATGCACTACCCTTTACATATAAAAGGGTTTACAATACAATTTCACCAGAAATTACCATCTCAAAATAAAACTACACAAGTTTAATTCATTTTAATAATATTATAGGAAAAAATCCGGGCGTAGCCCGGAAAACCCTCTAGTACTTATAAAAAGATCCCTCGTGCTTTCTCCTTGCTTTAAAGATAAAAAGAAGTGTGCCATGTCGGATTGAAAGCTGAATATAAGAGCATAAGAAGTGTGCCACGTCGGATTGAAAATTCTGCCAATTAGAAGTACCACAGATTTTCTCTCACAAATTGATTCCAATGGAACCTAAAGGTAACTCTCAAGTCTCCGGCGACCGCAAGATCAACAAGAAGGCCGCTGCCTCTTTTTGCGACTGCAAAACCAAACAGGAAGTCCCCTGCTTCTTCTCCGATTGTTTATCTGCTCTCTCGATGAAATAAATCTACCGCTCTCTCCGCCGGCCCTGCCAACCAGGTTACGCTCTTCCGCGATGTTGCTCTCGGTCCACATGAAGCCGATCTCATGGTTCGTCTGATTCATTATTGGGAGGCTCGGAATACAAAGAGAAAAACCCTCATTGGACAGGAAATGATGCTTATCGACCAAGAGGTAACAAAGTCATTCAATTAAAATGACACCTTCTTCATTGTATAGGGACACATCAATTTCTTAGTTCCATCGTTTTATTTTCGAAACACGATCGTGTTTATGCTGTAACATTTTTTAACTTTTCACTTTAGTTGTGATTTTTAGTGTTAGATGATAGCCGAATTTATACAGACAAAATCTTCTGTTTTTGAACTTTTACGCTTTAGTTTTGTATACACTGGATTGTCTTCCAAAATATTTAGACAACAGAAAGATGTAGAATGTTGAATATAGTAGAAGAAAATAAGGATCGAGAAAACTTGAGACAAATTTTATTTTTTTAAATAGATCGTAAAACTTAAATCCTAAATTGTAATATATTATTACTTTATCCTGCTTTGATATTGCTCGATTTGTACTGTATTTTTTTATATTAATAGTAAGCTTGAATGATTTATAGGGTACTGTTATCCAAGGATTTGTTCCAGCCGGTCTGGTTGGGACATATAAACTGACATCGGGCTCTGTTTACAAACTGAGCAAGTTTTTCGGATCCAAGAGAAAAGTTCAGTATCGGGTGTCTGATCATGTTGCCACAGTTTCATTCTCATGGAATTCTGAGTTGTCGGTTCTTCTGAATCCTCCGGTTCAAATTGAAGAAGATAGGTTCAGGTTCCATAGTTACGTGGAGTTTTAAACCAACTGTGACAGCAGAGGTGACCTTTATGGTAAGCCGTTTTGTTATATATTTATATTATCTTTATAGACACGTTTGAAATTGATATAGACACCTTTGATATTGATATAGGCACGTTTGAAATTTTATTAAGATATATATATATTTAAAAAATGTGATGTTTGACTACTTGAAATATTATTTCTCAGATTTTGTTGGCCACATGAAGTTGGTTAATGGGGCGGCTCTCACTGATCATACTGTCCTAGATGAAGTTTTCATAGCAGAGAAGTGGCATATATGTCTTCATGTTCACAGCAATGAGTAAGTTTGTTGAGTTTGGTGACATGTTGTTTTTGTTTCGAATGCTTACTAATTTGTTTAACCCTACACAGCGAACCAGTGATAAAGATCTACCTATGGGATCAGGCCGCAGCCGACTTCTGCCAGAAATTCAAGTCCAAAGGAAGAACTCCAAGTGTGCTTTTGGTCACCATAGTAAACCCTAAACATCTTGGAGGTTAGCATTCCACCTATGAAAGAACATCGTTTTATAATTCACAGATAGATGGTAGTTATTAAAACAAATATATGTGTTCATAATTAGGACTTAGTTGTGGTACTTGAGATGAAACATTGATATATGTGTTCATATAACTGTTTCTTAGATGTTGTAATTAGTTGTTCCTCATATTTTCAATATTTTGGTTTCATTAACCATTTACGTGTTATGAACAGGAACCATTGCTCTCTCTTCAATGGCATCATCTCAAGTGTTTATGAATTATCTTGGATGGTAGGAATTTATGTGTTCAATAATATGTCCATGCAGCTTCTGTTTTGGCATTTCCTACAAATTCAGATCTAACTTGATTTTTGGTTCGTCATTTTCCTCAGGCTGGAGTCTAATTCGGAAATTGCTAGTAAAATTAATGCAGATGTTGTGACTAAGCCAGAGGCATTGACTCTAGAGGAGCTATTCTCCTACATGAAGCTAGAAATTGCCAAGGTACAAGTGCTATTCTGTTTTTAAAATCGTTGTTATATGATTGAGTATTTATGAGTTGTGTTTATTTTTTTGCAATGGAAGGTTGCTTGGTTTTAATGCGCAACAACTATAGATGATGTAGTCCATGGTTGTTCTTGGTATTACATTACTTGCGGTGGGTGCAATAGTAAGGCAATCAAAGGGCCTACCTCCCTGATTTGTACCAATAAGAAGTGTGAGAAAAATGAAGTTGCTGGCATCTCCCAGTAAGTGTCGCATACATATTTGCTTTTACTTATTGCCACCCTAATATGTAATCTTCTTTCATTGCAGATATCTCACGAAGGTCTCTGTTTATGATAAGAGTGAACAAGCGGTTTTTGTGCTTCTGGGTGATGCTGGCAAAGAGTTGAGGTAATTTCTAAACTGTATACACATACTTCCATATTATTTGTACTCATATTTCTTTTCATTGTATGTTAGTGTAATGAAGGCGTAGGATATGATGAATCGGTGCCTGTACCGCAAGCTTTACTTGATGCAATAGGTCAGACACACAGATTCATTGTGAAGGTGTCGGATCATAATTTGACCGGGAAAATACAAGCCATAACTGCCACGAAGATACTCCCACCAGAAACTCCACAACCTGTAGCAGACTTGGAAGATGAAGCTATTTCAGCGGCTACCAGTAATGTTTTGATGACTGGTAGTGAGGAATCTGGTCCTTCCAGTGGTGTTGAGGATTCTGGTGGTGATAGAATTCGAAAAGCATCTGAGAGTCTTGGCACAGAGGAATCCAAGCGTTACAAGAATTGCTAAGGGTGCTCAGATTTATCCTCTTGTGCAGTGTTTTTTTTTTTCTGCATTTTAAGTACTGGTTTCTCTTTATCTAAAGACTTTGCCATCTTTTTGTTTGAATCTTCAGACCTTTTTCAATTGCAAACACTTTATGTTTTTTTTTTAAAAAACAACTTTCATTATAAGGTTTATGGTTATGCCTTTAGTCTATTTATTTATAACATTATGGTTTTATTATTAGATTATCTACTTTATCACATATTGATTGTTAAATGTTTGTTGATCATCATTAGATAACAAGGACTGTTGGTGTCAAAATCGGTCACGACGGAATTAATGGCTAAAAGTCTCCGCAAAAGTAAAAATAAAAATACGTTTTATAAAACTCCAAAGATCGTTTTATAAAACTCGAGAATCGTTTTATAAAACTCGAGAATTGTTTTATAAAACTCGAGAATCGTTTTATAAAACTCGAAAATCGTTTTATAAAACTCGAGAATCATTTTATAAAACTCGAAGAAACGTTTTATAAGACTCGAAGAATCGTTTTACGAAACCGCAAAAAACCGAAACAGCCGTAAAACGCGAACTAGTCACGACTAGTTCGCCCATGGGCGAACTATGCCGGCCCGGCTTAGTTCGCCGATGGGCGAACTAGGGACACTCCACTAGCTCGCCTATCGGCGAACTAAGCCGGTCCCGGCTTAGTTCGCCGATGGGCGAACTAAAGACACTCCACTAGTTCGCCCATCGGCGAAGTAAGCTGGTCCCGGCTTAGTTCGCCGATGGGCGAACTAAGAAACACTCAACTAGTTCGCCCATTGGCGAACTAGTCCTGTCCCGGCTAGATCGCCAATAGGCGAACTAAGAGGTACTGACTTTGCCCCACTGGTTCTTTTCGCCTAGTTCGCCATATGGCGACCTAGCCAAGCTGAACTAGCTCGCCGTACGTCGAGCCGACCACCCCGAGCCTCGATCACCCGCATCCTCGATTCAAAACTTACGTCTTTCGACACGGTCGCATTCTGAACCACGGCCGAAACGTCTCCCGTTCCGTCTCGATCCTACCTATCATTCATGTTTTACGATAAAAACCGTAAAACTTCGCTTTCTCGGAAAGAACTCGAGGAAATCGTATAAAACGGCAACGGTTAAACTAAACACCGAACATTGCCTAATCTATACGATTTATTCGAGATTTCTCGTTAAAATCATAAAAAAATCGTTTTAAATAAAAAACGTCGAGAGAATCGTAAAAAACGGCATTGGATCAGGAAACGGTCTCGTTAAAGTCGTAAAACGGTTTTTATCGTAAAACAGCCCGAAAGGTCCTAATACACGATAAAAACCCATCTCGCGACGTTAACGAAATCAAACCCCAAGATACGATAACGCTTTGACGGTTTACTCGCAGACGGAAGATAAAAGGCAAGTTTGAAGATAAATAGAAGATTTCCGCAGAAGAAAAGGAAGGATTGACAGATATGGAAAGTTCCCGAAATATTCGGTTTCGAGCAAAATGGAAAGACTAAAACCGCATAAGGAGGAGTATATAAGGAGGAGGCATAGGGCAGAAGCTGGGGGACGAAATCTAGAGCTCTCATCTGAGATTTTCACAACTTTTCTAGACTTAGAATTTTCCGCACTTAGAAACTTAGGCTTTTTCTCGACAAGTTCGGTTTCTATGACTGGTGCTCAATTACTAGACGAACTCGCCCAGGCAGTTCGATCTCTGGTCCAGCTCTACAACCTGAACTACGTTCGACTTGATCCCCGAAAGGGGTACTTAGGCAGCCTTTCATAAGGTTCAGTCCGAAATCATTCAAACCCTTTTTTTATCTTTTTCCGTTTTTCGTCAACGAGCTGCAACTCGACTAGATCTAAGGTTTTATGTTTGTAACTCGCTGATGGCCCCTGCGGCCAAAGCCTTTGTAATCCCTTGTAATGATCGCAACGCTCTTACGCGAATCGGAAATAAGATCGACTTTCTTTATAAATTCGTTTTATTATGTTTTTCATATTTTCCCGCATTTATTTGGTTACTTGTCGTTGGCTTTCGCAGAGATCCGGTTCCTCTGGAAAATTAGGGTTTTCCTAAATTTCCTTATTTAACGGAAATCGACAAGTGTGAATTTCGGTTCCCACAGTTTGGCGCTAGAAGGAGGGGGGGTCGGATTACTCTTATTCATAGCCGCAAAACGCTTGATCAAAACGATGTCTGGATGTATGAAAGACAAAGTCGCAACTCGCGAAAAGAGGCTGGTAAAACAACTCCAGCAGCGACTGCTCCTACAGCCAACGCTTTCGCAAACGCTGGAGTACTCAACAAAATCGAAAACCTAATCGCTACTCTTCGCCACGGGAAGAGCAACAAAACGAGCTCACAATTTCTATCTCAGATCACTAAGGGCAACAATAAAATCTATCAAACCCCATAGTGTTTTTTCTTATTTCCGAGTTTGACATATCTCACGGGTTGAGCAAAAGACGTTTTCCGAGAACTTTTCGGAAAAATAAAACTTGCCTTCCCAGAAACCGCGGAACAAACCGTAGGTTACTCGCGAAATAAACCCTAGGTTACTTGTGAAAAAACTCTAGGTTATTCACGGCAACACCCTAGTTTGTTCGCGGAAAAACTCTAGGTTATTCACGGCAAAACCCTAGTTTGTTCGCGGAAAAACTCTAGGTTATTCACGGCAAAACCCTAGTTTGTTCGCGGAAAACCCTAAGTTATTCGCGAAAAAACCCTAGGTTGTCCGCGGAAAAACCCTAGGTTACTCACGGAAAGCACCC